GATTCCCCATTTATTCTGAAAATAAGCTTCTGAAGGAAGCATCACTATCCCCATAATATAGGGGATATTTTTACAGGATAAAATCCCATATTTTTATCTGGATGTACTCAGTCAATGAATGCTTAATGAACATTTTCTGTGTAAATATTAACTTCCAAATCCAGCCTAACTACAAAGGAAGTCTCCATTTACATCTTTTAACTGCTCCTGGAGTCATGGGCTGGACTTGTTTCCTACCTGCCCCTGGATCTTGTCTGAGAATGGATTGTTGCTAGCTTAAGCATAACATCAGCATTGGATAAGCCCAGAAAGCTCCTTTCTTCCCTTTGCCATTTTCACAAAGAGTACCAGACTGGATTCTAAAGCTTCCCACCAGGCCCAGAAAGACTCCAAAGTTTGGTTCAAAATCAGAGTGAGTAAACAGTCCCAAGAGACTCATCCTTGGAAACACACAACAGCCAGAGAACCATGCTCGCCTGATTGCCCTGCAGCCCCCAGTCTCTCTCTCCAGTCCCACATCAATCAGATACTGCTGCCCTGAGTAGTAGGGGAGAATTGTTTCTTATCAGAGATGCAAACAAGATTTTGACACATTTTACTTTATGAAGCCACTTGCCCTTCAGTGCCAAGACTGCTTGTTTCATCCCAAGAGTCATACTTCTGTATCAGAATCTAGGTGCTAAAGTGAAGAGTCTTCAGAAGTGACCTAGTTCAAGGACCCCAAGAGAAGCTCTCTGCACCTATGAGCTACAAGGCATTGATGAGGCCTGAAGATTTAATTAATTCAAAGCAGGGCAAATCTTATCCTTGCCTCTCTGTTCTGGCTCCCTCTAGTTCTGTGGACTGGGTGACTTAATTGCTCACAGAAGGGCTAGAGATCTGATGGAGTGAGAGTTCCTGAAATGAGGACACCCAGAAAGCCTTGCAGAAATGCTCTGGACAGGCTTCTGCACTCAGTCTCTGGGCCATGCCCAAGCCCTAAAATGCCAACTCCATTCAAGGAATTCTGCATGATGCCCATTAATTCTGCCTCTTCCTGCCTGCATTCCCCTCCTGTGATCCGTGGTTTCTGCTTTGCTCTTCTCTTTTGCCTAATCTTTCCCAGCTGCTTCTCTTGCTCTGCCTTCTGTCCCCTTTCAGCTTTCTCTCTACAGTTCTTTGCCCATTGTTTCTCTCCATTTCCCTCTCACTGCATTACTGCTTTTTAAATCTCTTGACCTCTGCGTTTACATTCCTTACCCCCCAAGCTTTGCTTTCACTTTCTGACTTTGTCTTCTGAACCTCTGCATTTCCCTGTCTCTCACCACAGAAGCAATAGAGTTTGACACAAAAATGGACAAAGAGAGCCAAGAAGATCTCAACTGTGAGCTCATGCATAGGGAATTAAAAAAATCTCAACCATTCTGCAGCTTATAGCAAGGAGGCTTATTTCTTACTTATGCAATGTGAATACCATTGCTCAGGAAGTAGACTCATCTCACTATTCCCCATCCAATAAGAGCTCCATTTTAGCACTTTCCTTCTAAGACCACAAAGACAGAGAAAGAGAGAATTAGTGAATCAAATTCTGGCTCTTTAGGATGCTGCTGAGAGGTGACTCATGTTGTCTCCACATCACACTTACCCTGGCAAGTCACTGGGCCACTCCTGAGCTCAATGACATAAAAATACATGCTGTTTCTATGAGCAGAGCCTCCTTCAAGAAGGACAACAATACAAGTGAGCCATAACTGTCCAGCATAGGATTTTTTGGAGACCTTTTCTCTTTTTCATGAACTGTAGGTTTAACTTGCCAAATGATAGGGATAGTTTCAGTTAACCAGTTTCTGTCATTGTCAAGCTGAGAATATTTGAAATTGTAATTATATTACTATTATTGGTATAAAATAGAAGAAAACTGCAATCTCAGCCCCCAAAATGTAACAATCTAGAAATATTTGGTGTTTCTTTAGTTCCTTGAGAGTCTACATTCTTCTTTAATAAAAGAACAAAGGAATTTTTGTGAATTTTCTTTCTTTTGTGCCTCTTATGTGTTTCCCACACTATTAGCAAAGTATCTTATATAATAGGTATCAAATAAATAGCAATCAATTGAATGATTTGCAACTACTGTGAAGAAACATTTTTAGCAATCTTGTTTCTTGTTGAAAGCAATATTCTTTCTCTAATTTTTGAGGGATAAATAGGTGACTGAAAAGTAAATATTCATTACCAGAGAATAATATGTTACACAACCAAATTCATCACAAATTTTAAGGAATACATTGCAATATATGCAAAGGATCTGCTGTGTGATTTTTAAACATGTGAAAAATCACATAAATTCTATAATTAGTATTATAGGCATTGAAGCAAACTATGTCAGAAGTCATTTGTAGGGAGTAAAACTTGGTTAAGGATGGAGTTTTAGGGGCCTGATGATGTGCATGTGTGATAGAGGGATTAGCATTTCCTTTTTTCTGTACTTCTAGGATCCCAGCAGCTAGGATATAGCACTCTCAGTGAGGCAGTATGTCTGCCTTCCTAGTAAATGGACAGGGAAGGGAGGAAGATGAATGTTGTGGTGTCAGAATAAGCTCAACTTCATATACTATGGACTCCTGCTGCCTGAGGCAGGTTGTGAAAAGGGAGGAAGGAGGAAGGACTAGAAATATTCCTTCTATTCAGGATCACAAACCAGGCAGAATAGCCTAAGCTTTTGAGCAATAAAATTTTGTTGGCTTCTCCCTGAGGGATTTTGAAACGGTCAGAAGTTGTTTGACACTTCTCTTATTGACATTAAAACGTGGATCTTCTCCGTTTCCCCTTGAATCTTGACAGACTTATACTGCCTTATACTGGCCTAAAAATGACAATACGTGTCATCTGTGTGAGCCTCTTTTGCTGGAATGCTTGGTCTGGGAGCCATCATGTGATGAGTCCAACCACCCTGAGATCACCATGCCAGTGCAGTCATGCAGTCTACAATCCCAGCAGTCACAGCTGCCTCACATTTTGAGCCAGAATCCCAGCACAGGAAGTCCAACTCCATAGCTAAGGAAAAAGGACAGAAGATGGAAAATACAGAACAAACACTGTGGTAGAAAAGCCAGATATTGTGTAGACTCCGTGAACCTGCGGGCACTGGAGCACAAAGCTATCTGGATTGCCAGGCTGTACCTGACTTCTTGTGTCCTTTCTGCTCTCAGTCTTTATAAACACATACCAGAAGGGGACTCTAGAGGAAAGCAACTGCCTCAAAGCAATGAAATTTTACTAATTTCAAGATCATAGGTGTAGAAATGTGAGCAGGTGAACATCCTGAGAGGAATAGTCCGAAATCATTTGCAGGACCCTTTGAAAAGGTCTTGGCTTACAGTCCTTGGGTCATGGCATAGACCTCTACTACCAACCTACACTTGAAGCCTTCTGGGTGAAATATACTAATCCTTTCCCTTTCCTTCCTTCTTTCTTCTTCCTATCTGTCTCTGTTTCTCCTTCTCTCATGTTTGGTTTTCCTTATTTCCTCCTGTTTCTCTTTTATCTACTTCTCTTTCTCCTTCATGTAATGTCTGTTGCTCTGTTGTCTTTTTTTTTTTGTACCAGGGATTGAACTCAGGACCTTGTGCTTTCGATGCAGGGGTAGTGCCACTGAGCTAAATCCCCAGCCCCTCTGTTGTCTTTTTAAATCTGCTCCTCTACTTTTTTTCTCTTTTTATCAATGCTTTGCCATATTTCTCATGTTTCTGTTTGCTAACTCTGTTCTTCTATGAATCTCATAGTCCTATTTTGTTCTCCCTACTCTTCTTTTTCTCTGTTCCTCTGTTAATCACTGACTGGGCCCTTGGATTTCTCTCCTTGTTCTTGTCTTTCCCCATCTCCTGGCCAATGGTTCTCTGCTTGCATCTCTTTGTATCTATCCTTGCCCCTCCATCCTTCTCATTTCCCTTACATGCAAGGATACAGTACCTGGATCATGACAATTGGAGGCACGCCTCTGAATTTGTTCTCTTGGGTTTTTCCTCTTTCATGAGCTATAGGTTCTTCTATATGGGCCCTTCCTTGTGCTGTATCTCTGAACCTCATGGAAAACACCCTCATCATAGTCCTAGCCATCGCTGACACTCACCTACATACTCCCATACTTCTTCCTGGACAGCTTTCCGCTTCTGGAGATCTTGCTAACCATGACTGTGATGCCCAAGATGCTCTCAGACCTGCTGATCTTCAACATCTTATCTCCTTTACTGGCTGCATGGTCCACTTCTACTGCTACTTTTTCCTGGATTCCACCTCCATCCTCTTCTTGTCAGACAGGGCCATTGACAGTTTTGTGGCCATTTGCCACCCACTGCACTTTGGGCTAGGCTGTGTGTGTCCAGCTGGCTGGAGCCACCTGGGCAAGTTCTCTACTAGCCATGGTATCCACTGTCCTTCCTGAGTTTATCTCAACTGTCATTAACTACTCCTTCTGTGTCAAGGAACCTCTGCTTTAGCTATCCTACTCCAACACCTACCTGAGGGAATTCTGGGATTCATCTCTTATTACTACATTGTAAACCCTGAGCTATGGATCTCCTTGGGCAGTGGCTGGCAGAAAGCTTTCTCCACATGTGGATCACACTGCACAATGATCTTTATTGTCTTCAGTAGCACCATCTTCCTGCTCATCAGACCTAGGAAAGCTCTCTCCTCCATAGATGTCAATTAGGCTGTAGCCTTTGTAACACCCATCCTCACCCCTTGGCCATCCTTTTCTCCTTACCTTCCTCAATGAGAAAGCAAAGGCTATATTATGAGGCCAGATGTGGAGGCTGAAGGGCCCTCACAAGGCACTGTCATGAGCCCTGGGACCTGGCCAAACTCAGTCAAGCAATTTGAGAAGGAGGCACGGTACCTGGATGGGTGGGAAGACCCTTATCTAGTTTCTTTTGTCTTGCCCCATCTATTTTTTATTCATCACAATAGTATTTGTAAAGATTTTGAAAACACATGCAAAATAATTTTATTTTGAATAAAAGTTTTTATTCAGTTCATGTACAATGTCAATTTCATGGTAAATTCACAGTCTTTTGCAACAATGTCATTTTCCCAGGGAGATGAGAACAATGGATTTGTACCATTATTCTACATAGGTCTTCCTGCACAGACATCAAGAGCCATCCCACTCCACAGAAGTAGCTTATACTGGAACGCAATTTTAAGCTAGAATAAGAGTAAATTTGTTTAAACATCAGAACTAATTTAAATATAGGCACCATCAGTAGTAGGATATCACGGCTTTAAATTTCTTTCCTACTCCAAATATCTTCCCACTCACCCTCCAGTGGTCTGGTGTTCCAGGCCCAGAGATTCAGTGTTCTAGTTAACAACAGTCAGAGAGTTCTGAACAGCTAACACAAGAGTCTATCATAATGTAAATCTCATGGAAAGCCAAAAGCTAGATTTATTTCCTTAGCTGAGGTGATAAAGGAGCAAGGCATTAAGGATATGGGTTTTTCAGGAGAGAAGGAAAAGGAATCCAGTCATATTTCAGAAGAAAGTTAGTCTTGGGTCTTGTGCTGGCCATTAATAAACAAGAACTACATGGAAGGAACTTCAGGAGTTGAATAAATTGAAAAGGTCCTTGGTCTAAGTCAGAAATTTTGTATAGTGGCTATATTCACTAACCTACTTCACCAATTTTCAAGTATTGAATTTCTAGGTGTAAGTACATTTCTGGCAACAATGCCTGAAAGATACTGAGGAAAAACAACAAGTGTTTAACCAGCAGCTCTCCATTTGCTGGCTTTTAGTATTTGCCAGAATCCATGGTGAATGTTGGTTGCATTATATCCAATTTCAAACTATTAACATGACTTCGCTGCACTTGGAGCTGGTAAAGTATGCTCAGAAACAAAATATTGTACAATATTTATATCATACTAATCCAAGTGACATAAATAACCTGAAGAGCACAGATAAAAATAAAGTATGGTAAGGTAGGAACTTTTTCTACATTTTTATCACTTCTGATTTTTGCATGTTTTATTTTGGTGTGGGTTTCTGTTTTTTGGTTTTTAATAATGATTGTGTTTAACTCCTGATGATTAACAACCAGTTCTCAGGAGTATCACTAGATTCCCACCACTATGTTTTCCCTTAGACCTTGTCCCTCATGCAACCCATCATCTTTTTTATTGGCCTTCCATTCAGTTAAACATGTCCCAAATCCTGTGCAAGTAAAAATCATAGCATTGCCTTTATATGTTCCTCAATCCTGTAGACACCTGACTCCCAAATATGAAGGACATACCTTCTCCACTAGCAGCAGGGCATTTCATAACTCACACACATGTTATCGCTACCTCCCTAGGTTGATGGAAAACTCACCCAGAAGTTCTTGGGTCTTCCACTGTGATATCAGTCCAAAGGACTGTATTGAAAGCCCTTGTCCTTGTCATGGAGTAAGCCAGCATGTTCCAAGGAGAGGAGATTCTATAGACTTTCTTCCCTCTATTCCTCCACAGATACAGAGCATGAGATCAGAAGATAGATACTCTATGTTCTCACTGGAGGACCTGAACGAAGCAGCCTGAGGGGCCATAACATTTGACCAGTTGAGCAGCTTCTGGCAGAGCTTGCACCAAGCATTTCAAAATGCTGAGCTCTCTGAACTTACTTAGGTTATTGCACTCTAGCACTCGAGGTAAACAGTAGTACCTTTTGTGGATATAGTATCACTCCCGTGGAATACTAAGCTTTTTACTGGTACTTCTGCCACATCCTCTATGAATTTGCTGATTCAGTATGGCCCGTTACATTATTTCAGTGAGCATCTTGCAGAGGACACTCACAAATCCCCTGAGATACTTGGATCTAATGAGTAAAGATGTGTGTGGTTACTATCCAGAAAGCCTATTTATTAATTCCATTCCCCTTGATCGCTCACACAACATACCATTTTATGTCTCCATTAGGTTACACAGTCAGTTGCCTCTCCAAAATTCACATTTCCACTTCTCAGTCTATGAAACTGTTCTACATACTTCAAAGCTCAACTTAAATATCAAAAATTGTTTCAACAGAACCTTCAACTTAAAAAAAGAGAAAAAGGCACTCTGTCCTCTGCATCTCCAAGTTCTTTGTATATGGTAACTAACACAATTTTGTCTTCCCACATGATGTTCATATCTCCTTAATTTAAGCACCATATCTTATATATCTTTGTATCTCCAGCACCTAGATTTCATACGGGAGCTATTCAATAAATTACAGCTGTCTTTTAAAATGAGGTTTTTCAGTGAATTTGGAACACAAGTTACTATTGCAATCTAAAACATAGGATGCCATTTTAGTTGATAGCAATAGGAAAGTAGTAAACAAACCAAGGAAAGGGATTAGCACTCAACTCTCTCAGTTGTCTAAGCTAGTACTGTAACCAGTTCTAATACTCATCTAGTAACAGGGGTCAGAATGTGGATAGCAAGAGTTCTGGAAACTTTTCAACGGCAATCTCTCACCTGTAAATGTGAGTATTTTGTAAGGGATGTCTTATACTTATTTTGCTAGTTAGCCTCTGTAACACGAGAGACCTTTCAGACACTGCATGAGGAATGACACTGACACAAGGGTTTCAGCTTAAAATTTAAAACTGCAGTAAAAGAAGGAGCTGCCTCAACCATCTTTAAGTGCCCTTACCTGGGTCTGATGCAAGAGAGTCTCTCGGCGAGGCTGATCCATGTGCTGCAGTGAGGATGCCTGCATTCAAGTGGAGGGACACAAATAGATCAGTCACAGGCTCCCGTACAAATTCCATGAGATTATGGCTTTGTTGTCTCATAGCTTACAACTGGGGAAACTTTCATAACAACTACTTTAACTTAGGACTGAATCCCAAGATTTCTTCCAGCAAGTTGGGAAACTCAAAGTTCTAAGTCATCCTTTCCAGGAGCCTCATTTGACACTGTGACAAGAACCCCAGTTCCATCAAGACAAATGTAGAATCAAAACATCTCTAGATCATGCCTACAAAGGATTCTAACAGCAAGTCAGAGGCCAGGCCATTGGGCTAAAGCCAATCAAAAAGTGTAATGTCCTAATAGGAATAAAATCGTGGTAGCCTTTTTCCTGGTTACTATCTCCAGATATAGAACTTGGGACAAATGTTACTACTAAAAACAGATGTGACCTCAAATTCCCTCATATAGCACCCTTCAAATGGAGACTGGAAGAAGAGCTTTCATACACAATTTCCTAATTGAAAATTCTACCAGCAAATTAGACTAATCGATGCTGCTCAATCATTGATGAGCAAAGGAATTGCCCTGTTAAAAACATAGATTCTAATTCAGGCAGTTTGGAGTGGGGCCTGAGATTCTACATTTTTAACAAGCTCTCAGGAGATTACACTTGCAGCAATGAAAGATCAGGGTGAATTTTATTAAGCATGTTATGCAGTCTGAAGCTGTATGTGATGGGTGATCATTATGGAGGACTGAGGAAAGTCATATCTTTCCCTCAAGTGACCAGTCAAAGATCCCAGTCCTAAGAAAACCTAAAAAAAAAAAAAAAATCAGGTGATAATTTGCCATAAGCTGTTATTTTTTATTTCTTTTAAAGAGGGGAATGTGCAGAGATGAAAGAGTAAACAGGAAAAAATTCCCTTAGGAAGAAACTCCAAGTGGATTTGTAGGCTGATTATTTTAGGAGGACAAACTAAAAGAAAGTTTCTGCATATCAGAAGGAGATAATTGCTTTTAGTTCTTTAGTTTTTCACAAAGTTTGAAAGGAGGGTAAATAATTAGTCCCTGGAGAGGTGGGGAAGAAAAAGTTCTCAGGCTGAATATCTATTTTCCCCACTGTCCTTTTCAGCAGAATCAGAAGTTTCTGTCCTCTTCTTAATGAAACCCAGAAATACAAAACTTTCCTGTGGTAGTATTTTTAAAGTAAAGAAAACTTAATTAGAGACCACAGTAAACGGAGATAGTAAGAGATTAGTGCCCCTCTAAGCTGTGTACCTGGAAAGCTTCTCCTGCAGCCATGCTCTGTGGTGACTTGGCTCCATGGGGTGCTATTCAAATTGCGTATTACTACCGGGGCCTCTCCTCAAGGTGTCCTGTGGACAGAGCTAGTTTCAGAAATGACAACTCTGCACCTTGTCTCTTTGCCTTGTCTGTTTATCCCAGCGCACTTCTGACTCAGTGTGGTATGTCAAACATCAGAGCTATTCCCGCCCCACCATCATCCCATTAGCCACCCACAAATTTCCAAGGAATACCTTCTCTGATCCATCCTCCCACCCAGTCACCCACAGCATTGATCCAACTCCATTTTCTCTTCATCTGGCTTCTCTCATCTTTGCTTTTCCAAAGATAGTCTCTAGTAATCTTGCCAGCCTGCTTTCAGGGAATCCAACCCTAAGGACCCAGGCAATTGGCCCACCCTCTGGGATATGGACCCGAGGTTCTGTAGAAGAAAGTAAGTAGTAGCCCATGTGGAGGGGAAGGCAGGGAGTCTGAGAGTGGCAGTGGAGCTTTCCTTTCCTTCCAAAGTGCATGAAAAAGATAAGGCCCTCTCAGTTTTCTGGAAGAGGAATTGAACAGTGGTTCAGGGAGCCATTACTGCTAAAAGGCAAGACACTTTGGGACCGTGAGCAAGAAGTGGGTGGCCTGGCTGTGCATAGTGTTTCCATCCAGGAAGCATCCCAGACAGGTAAACCAATGGAGAAGCACAGTTTCTTCAGTGTTGGAGTACCAGGTCTGTCTATTCTTCTTAGAGAGCCTGCCATTTCAAAACCCCTCCCTTTGTACTGAATCCAGTTCCTGAGGTAGGGACACAACCAAAATAAAAACTGTGCACAAAGAAACATAAAGAATGTGAAGAAAACCACAGAGCCAATACTGGAAAGAATTTTCACAGCAAACTTTAATAGCAGTTACATTTTTTGAACTCTCACAGTGTCTTAAGTCCCATTATAAGAGCTTTATTTGGGTTATCCCATTTAATTGATGTCTAAACATTATCTACTCCATGGTAGCTTGAAATCCTCCATTCCTTAACTGTCAGGCTCACAGACTCTGATACATTTAAATAATTACATAATGTTCAGTAGCCCTTTGTAGCGCAAGAGCAGAAACTTACATGAGGATAAGGAAATAGGAAAGGTCAAGAAGGAGGAGATGGAAGAGCCCCAGCCCGGGTATCAGATACCCAGTGGCAGTGAGGGGCCTTACTCCTAATGATCCTACAGGTGCTCTTCAGCCCCTTCATCTGTCAACTGCTGAGTCTTTGAGGAGGATCCTTTTGGTCATGGCTCCAATGACTTTCTTGACCTTCTCATTCCAGAAGATGAAGATGAAAGGGTTGAGGAAAGGGGTTACCACTATAGTCATCAAAGCCACCATCTTGTTAAAGTGTGTGGAATGGCCCTTGCCTGGCCTCACATAGATGAAGATAGCACTGCCATGCCTAGAACCACCACTGTGAGGTAGGAGGCGCAGGTGGAGAAGGCTTTCTGGTGCCCAGAGGAAGAAGGAATACGGAGCACAGAAGCCACAATGAGGATGTAGGATACCACAATAAGCAGCATGGTGGTCAGCACAAAGAGCAATGACAGGAAGAAGTCCATGCACTCAACATGATGGGTGTCAGAGCAGGACAGTTTGAGAAGTGGGGCAGAGTCAGAGAAGTAGTAATCAATAACCTTAGGGCCACAGAACCAGAGCTGTATTTTCTGCAGAGTAGGTGAGACAATGGAGAGGAATCCAACCACCCAGAAGGCCACCACAAGCTTCACACAAGCTGGGCTACTCATGATAGTTGGGTAGTGCAGAGGGCAACAGATGGCCACATAGCGATCAAAGGCCATGACTGTGAAATCAGGAAGGTGGTGGAGCCCAGAGAGAAGTAAAAGAAAGACTGGGTCAGGAACTGGGCCAGGGACATGGTCCTGTGAGTAGACAGCAGGTCTGCCAGCATCCTAGGAACCACAGTGGAGGTGACTAGCATCTCTGTGATGGAGAAGTTACAGAGGAGGAAGTACATGGGAGAGCGGAGGTGGGAGTCAACGCAAGTGAAGACAATGATAGCCAGGTTCCCCAGCAGAGTCAACATGTATATAGACAGGATGAAACCAAACAGAAGGGTCTGGAACTCATGGAGATCAGAAAATCCCAGAAGCACAAATTCCCTGACATTGCTGTGGTTACTCATTGCACTTGATGCTAGTTCTCTGATACCTGTGAGAGATGGAAAAATCTTAAAGGAAAATGACCACCAACTTCTCCCTTGGCCTAGCCCCTGATGGTGGCCAGGCTCTCAAGCATACCACCCTGTGGGCATGGTGAATCTCAATATCCAAAAGGAATATTGCCAAAAGGTAGATGTCACCAGGAATGAACTGGCTGTGATGAACAGATTTATGAGTCAGCCACATTCTTCCTCTGCCTTTAACTCATTCACAGTTTCATTCAACATATTTGCCAAGCATCAACTCTGTATAAAACATTTGGCTGGGTCTAGAGATAAAGTGGTGAACACTTTCTAGCTAACTTCCAAATTTAACTATTTTAACACATAATAGCTGCTAACAAGGTTTCTCCCTGTGCCCAAAATTTGCTGGGAATACCTTATACATTGCTTTTGCATCTATTGCCCTCAATCCTCATGATATTTTTCTACTCTGTGATATGTCAGACTACATATAACCCATTCTTGAAACTGCATGCACCCTTGACTTCAGAGATCCTGGCTTCTATACATTTTCCTCTAATGCTGACTTTGCCTTGTCTGTCCTCCAGTTGCCTGTCTTTCTGTTGTTGTCTAAATATAGATCCCCCACATTTCTCTTCTCATGTTTTTCTTTTTAAATCCATTCTCTCCTGCAAAAATTTCACCTCTCTTTTTCTTTTTTTAAAATTTATGTTAATATATGCTTGCAATACATAATGGTGACATTCATCATGAGGAGTTGCTACATGTACATAACATATCTTAATGCTTTTTTATCCCCTTCCCTCCATTCATTTCTTGATCCCCTTCCTTTTTGCAAAAGATTAATTTCCTTGTTTCCTATTACCTTTTACTGTGCTCTTTTTTAATTAGTATGTGTGTGCAGTACATAATGTTTACATTCCTTGTGGGAAGTCAGCTCTCTTTTAACCAAAACAATCTTGAAAATGTACATGAATCTCAAATCCGGATTGTTGTCCTTCTCTAAATCCCACCCTACACCCCACACAGCCTTGTGACCCTCACTACACATTCAACCCATCTGCAAATACCTAACAATCCTTGACTCCTTAAGCATTAATATCATCTTCATAGTCTCCATTTCCTCATCATCTACATGTGACACTGAAAGAGACCCCTGACACTTTCCCTACTCTTTCTAAACCTCTTGAATTGCTGTTTTTGGAAATATTAATTTTTCATCCTTTTTCATAGCTACTATCCTAGTTCAAGAGTTTGTTTCTTGAACAACAATATTCTTTTTTTATTATTACTTAAATTCTTCTATTGGTACATTTTTAGGTATACAACATATTTACATTTCTCATTGGGAACTTGTACCTTTACATGATGTATCTTCGTTCTTATTTTTTCCCCACTCCTAGCCCTCCTTTCACCCCTGCCACCCCTCCCTATTTACAAAGACTTTGTTTCCATTCTTTCCATTTCTCAGCATTTTTCCTTTCCCTTCCTTCCTTTCCCCTGCCCCTCCCACTACCCCTACCTTTTTTGGACCTTTTATTCCTATTTTGCAATATCAATTATTCATTCTAATCATTGGTACATTTTAGGTATACAATATAATGACATTCATCATTGGAAATTTGCACCTTTACATAATCTCTCTTGGTTCTTATTTTTCACCCTTGCCCAGCCCTCCCTTCAACCTCTCCATCCCTCCCTATTTACAAAGACTTTGTTTCTATTTTTCCATTTTCTCATATTAATTCCACTACCTTCTTTCCTTTCCCCTACCCCTCCCACTTCCCCTTCCCCTTTGCCCCTTTTCTTCCTATTTCACATTATCTATTATACCTTTTAGTCCTTATTTACACTTTCAGTTTCTCACACTGGAAAAACTATTCGGTATTTATACATGTGTGTCCTATTTATTTCACTTAAGAGTATTGCCTCAATGTGCCTCCATTTAGCTATAAATGTCTCTAATTTCTCATTTTTTATGGCTGAGTAGTACTCCATTTTATTAAAAAACCACATTTTCTTTATCCAGTCTTCAGTTGATGGGCATTTGGGCTGTTTCCAAGTTTTAGCTATTACAAACTGTGCTGCTATGAACATGGGTGCACATATATCACTGTGGTGTGATTCTTTTAATTCTTTGGGGAAGATCCCCAGCAGGGGAATACCTGGGTCAAATGGGACTTCCAGTCCTAGTTCTTTGAGGTATCTCCATACTGATTTCCACAGTGGTTTTACCAGTCTACACTCCCACCAGCAGTGGAGCAGGCTTCCTCTTTCCCCACAGCCCTGCCAGCATTTGCTATTGGTTGATTTCATGATAGCAGCCATTCTTTCTGGAGTGAGGTGGAATCTCAGCTTTTGAACAACAACATTCTTAATGTTTTTTATTCATAAATTTCCCCTGTTTCTACCCTATCTATATACTGCTATTATATTTCATTATCTAAATAACTATGTCCACTGGCTGCCTTTCATAATGTGAGGCAATGGGATTTTATTTATGTATTAAAAATATACAAAATCAATTCATCTCAAAATCAATTTATTGAATTAGCAAGCCATCCGCCTCCATATGGGAAAAGATTACAAGGATGCATTAACAACGGCTACCTCTGCCTATTATTAAATTACATTGTTTTTCATGTATACGGCATATTTTAATACACATATGCATAGTGCCTGATTACTACAGTCAATCTAATTAATATTCCACAGCTTTGTATAGCTACTGTTTTGTGGTGAGAAAACCTAAGATCTGCTCTCTTTAAAAAGTTTTAGTACGTAACACGGCATCATTAACTATAATCCCTACCCTACATTAAATCGCTAGAACTTAATCATACTACATAACTGAAATAAATAAATAATTCTGTTAATCTTTCTCCAAATACTTCATGTGGAAGGCTTTCTGCTAAAATTCCCATAGTGAGGCCAGGGAGTTAGCTCAGTGGTTTTGCCGCCTGCTGCACAAGTGCAAGGACCTAAGTTCGATCCCTGGTACCAAAAAAAAAAACAACAAAAAAACAATTCTCATAGTGATAGCTCACCCATCTTCATAAGAACTCTGCAGAGACCTGGGACCTATTTGAAAGTTCGCTCCTTGTTTCCCATCTTTCTTTCTGCCCATGTAACCCCTTTCAATTCTCCTGCCTAAATTATTCTTGTACCTTTTGACTCCTGAAACAATTTTCCTATGCCAGAGGATGACTCTTTTTTGAAAATGCAGGTAGGGTAGATCTCTCCTGGATCTTTTCAGCTGTAAATGTGATCATCAGCGACCTGTGTTTGCCAAGCTTCTCACGTGACTGACAGGGCAGGATTGAGGAATAGGACCAAGGGTTGTCAGAAGTATCTGAACATCCCCTTACCATTGCCAGGTCTTTGGAAAGACAGATGATGGGGGAGGACACAGAGGTGAACAGCACACTGGGGCAAGCAGATCAGCTAGCAGCAAGAATTAGAGGCAAAGAATGATCAAGAAGATTGTGTGCTGAACAGCCAAGAGTCTAGAAAGGCTTGGAAAACAAAAGAAACACAGCAGGAAAGAACTGAGGCTCAATGTCCCAATTCCATCTCTGAGGAAGGAGCAGAAGTAGGGTAGACTAAAGACATTGAGCTTCTGACTAGAGGGACAGCATGATGATATTGATGCAGGGAGTGGAGTCATATTATGATAAGACAATGCTGCACCCAAAATCAGTGATGGGCTCTGGCAGAGATGTTGGTGTTTCAGGACTACAGCATGAACAAAACAGTCCTAGACCTTACAGCCAAGTTCAGGAAAATGATAGCAAACAAGTTGAAAGTGAAAAATGGTAATTTCTGTGGCATCAGTGAAAAGGGCAAGACAAAGACAGAGGGGAACATACAGGGACTTACCAGTGCCAGCTTATATCCTGCTCCCCAGGTCCAGGTGCAGCCCTCAGAGCTTTGACCTGGTGGACCACAGGGCAAGTGCAGTGGGTTGAAAAATGCAAAGAGGTCCCCCTCATGATCCCTGCAGGCACATCCAAAACCTGGGACCTCTGGAGAAGTCCACAGTACACAAAGACCACACACCACTGAGATGGAGGTGTTTCACCACACTTAGACCCCCCACTTTCTATCTGATTTTCTCCTTCCTGCTATCCACCCTCTCCTGAACCTGACATGCAAGCACTAAGATGACAGCCTTCCTCTAGCAGTCCTTGCAATCTCTGGTCCTATTGAAGTGCTTCAGCAATGTCTGGAATAAGAGCACAACAATGAGTCCAGAGAGCAGCAGGTTGTACTGGGGACTTGGGTGGATCCCAGCACCATCGTCATTTTGGGAACAGTGAGCTCCAGGGAGCAGGCAGGTCCCACAGGGCCCTCCAAGGGGACTGTAACTGCTCTCCCTCACTCTTTCCTGTCTCCTGTGGGTGCAGAGATGAGGGCAGACCTGACAGCACTGACATCTGCATTTTGGGTGAGAGAAGAGGTAGTGGGGAGTTGGATAAATTTGCTTTAAACACAGATAACTCAGAAACAAAGTCAACAAGCTAAGAGGTCTTCTGAGCGCTAGTCAGCTAGGAGGGAAAACCCAGGTTCAATGTCTTATTTTTTTTTTTTATAAACTAAGAATAAAGAAGCAGGAGAAATTCTCTTTCAGATAAAGAAAATGAATAGTGTCTGAGCACCAAGATATTGAGTAGACCCAAATGAGAAACTAAGGACATATAAATGATTATGAAGTGGTAATTATACACATAGGCATATCTGTGTGTGCACATACACATACACACAGAGAGAATATATATATGTGTGTGTATGAGTGTGTGTGTATAGTAATTTCACCTTATCTACAGCTTCACTGTCAGTGGTTACAGCCACTTGTGATCAAACACTGTCTTAGCAGAAAATTACAGAAATAAGCAATCAATAAATTTTGAATGGTGTGCCTTTCTGAGAAGTGAAATGAAATCTCACACTGGCCTGCTCCCTCTCATCAAACATGTGAATCATCCCTTTTTCTTTTTAAGTACTAGGGATTGAACTCAGGACCTC